AATATTTTAAACATGAAATATGGAAACACATATATAAATATTATTCCTAATACCCCTTTGTATATATCATTTGCAAAGTTGAGTATTTCTAAATTTCTCATTCACAACTAGCACCACTTCTGAGTGAGAAATGTGACACTATGAGCCATAACGAACAAAACACAGGCCTTAGGAAATTACATAATTTCTAAACTCCTTTCAGACCAGTGGACTGACACTGACCTAGATCTGTCTCTCTATCCACAGCTTCTCAGGGCTTATCACTGCAGAAACATGCATTAGTGCACACACACACACACACACACACACTCAAAACGAACAATGCCAAAGTCACTCAGATGTGATGCACAACCAGAGAAACCATCCTGTTAGTGTGTTATCAAGCATGTGGGCTGCACCACCCACAATGACAATGAAGATGCTGCGCTACATCAGTAATTATTTTTTTTCTTGGATTAGTGCTTTCTGAGGTCACATCCTGAGTGTGTCTACGCCTGCCTGCATAAGTGTGGTGCTTACTGGATCAAAGGTCAATTTTATGTTTTATTCTCTGCTGTTGTGGCCTCATTTATTAATGCCCCTTGAATCACATTATTCCTGATATCAGAGCAGACAGCTTACTGCTGATACAGTTAGCAGAAAGGGTCAAAGGGAGGAACCACAAATCGCATCTAAAACAGAGGGCTTTTTGAACAGAATAGGAAGAGATTATGCATTCGCTTTTAAGTATTAGTATATATATATATATATATATATATATATATATATATATAAAGACCTTAGATGCAAAAAACTCAATGTGACAAAGTCCGTCTGGTATTTTTTCTTTTAAAAGAATTTTTTTGTATCAGGCTCCTTTGTTTAGGGTCAGTAGTTTCAATTTAATGGCAATGAAATGCCTTATTTTATTAAATTAAAATGTCACTGATAGAGACATTTAAAAACATGTTAGACTTTTAGAGTTTAGTTTAGACATGAAACTCTAGAGGGCGCAGGCTGATAAGTTTACATGCAATCTGCAAGTAATCACATCATTACCAAAAGCACAAGCTGACTGGCCTCTGCTGATCCTGCAGCCAATGAGATAGCTTGCTCTAAATTGAAATATTCTGATCATTGTTTGTTGTAAGCTAGTCCTGCAGCGCTCCCTCTGATACCCTCTACCTCCCTCAGCTCCACCTGCCTAGATTTGCTACAGGATTTATGCATGTCTATTTATGTAGCAGCTGCTTAAACAATTCAAAGAGTCGTCATGACTGAAATATCAATATATAAATTTTTTCCACATAATTTCAATTACATCAAAGATTTCAAATTTGTTTTGTCCTTATAATATACATTAAACTAAAATGATTCTCACAGACCATTTTAATGATATATTATCATACTCAGAAGATTCTCCTTAATCTGTGTTCATGTCATGTGTATGTGTCTTTGCATATTTTTGGCCATGGACACAGTGGAGTGACATTCTGGGTTAATTACTCACACATCTCTGTTAATTACCAAAGTCGCTGATCCTGAAAAAACAACACTGACAAAGCTAACTGCAACAACTACATGCTAATATTCCTCTCTGATTCTCTGATGAAAATATTTCGGGAAAACAATCTTCTCTTTCTCTCTTTAGGATTACATAAAAATAAATAGTGATAGCAAATACAGATTCAATGTGCAGATGCAAATGCAATGTCTTAGACCAAACGGATTTACAACTTTTCAGCATCATTTAAGAATAAGGAGAATCTCTGATCCTCTCTGACCCCTCCACTGAACTTTGTGACAACAAAAATAGTATAAGAAATGACCCGCACCCCTAGCTCCCTTAACCCGGGCAGAGCTATTTTAAGCTGTGGCGTACATTAAATCCTTTTTAAATCCCATAAAAACAAACATTCTAACTGCTACACTTCACCTCATCATATCTTGCCTATCGGCAATCTCAAAATAGTCTGCTTCAGTTGTCTTGCAGCCTTTACTTAAAAGCTACAGGCTTTTAATGTTCTAATGTTAGTATGGTATGAAATGAAATAAAAAACAACATAGGAACAAAGGGGAACATTATTAATGGCAGTGCCAAAACCTCAAAATCACACTTATTTATTACTTTTTTTTCAGGATTTTTTTGTTTTTGTTTTTTTGTGGATCCCACTTAAAAAATAAATACTATGGAATTGAGCATAATTAGAACAATTAGCACAATTAGCACATAATTAGCACAATTAGCACAATTATATTGACATTATATTGATCAACATGTCCATGACTTGTCAATGCCTGGAAATCACACTTTTGAAATTCCCTGATAATTTCAAGTTTTCCATGGTGTGGGGAACTCTGGTAAATGTTGTACATGAAAGATTAAATTATGATTGTTATCTGAGCAACTTTTTCTAATTTCATTTAGATAAAGAAATGACTCTCTTTCCAACAATTTCCACCCATATACAACAGGTTATAAATACACGGGGCTTGTTCTGCATAGATGTGGTACAATTATACACCAACATATTATTTGCAAGGGTGTTTTCTTCTTTTTTTAAAGACACAGAATATGTAGAGCATATGGCATTGTTGGACATATATTTAATGCCATCTTAACTATTAACTCAACAATTAGGCTACTATAATACCTACCTGAACCTTCTGGAGCAAACATATGCATTTCTTCCTGACGTCTTCATAAGGACACCTTTTGGAGAACATCAGGACATGGGCAAGAAGAGAGTTGAGATCACTGGACGGGGCATCCATGGCAGGGGGAGAGGAGGACTGTGGGTCCGGTATCGGCCCGATGTTCTCTATTTTCCTCATCACCTCCTGGTGAATGAGCTCCATCGCTGATTGTCTGAAGCTCGAGTCTCTACTTGCCAGAGCATCCCACCTTCCCGCAGAGTCTCTCACATCCATCATTGTAACAGTCAACTATTCTTCAGTTATATAGGGACACCTGACAGACTGATACATGCATAGGACAAAAAAGGTATGAAAATTATTTATATAGCCAAGCTGGCAAATTAATTCTGCTAATCCCTCTAAAAATGTTCCATATTCTGCTAATATAAACAGACATGCAAATGGGCATGTCTTGGCAGGCATTTTGTGTATATAATCAATGTGATGAATTAAACAAAAGTTTTACGTTTTTTCTGTTGTTTAAACAAAAGGACTGATACAATTTCAAAATGTCTAAGCAAATAATTATGCATAGTTCTCTATTATTTTTAACACTAAACATAATATAATAGTAAACAGTAAACGCATTGTAAAAAAAAACCAACCGTTGAATGACGTTTAAACAAGTTCTGTTATTAGGCAACTTCAGAATATAAAAGGTTACACCATTAATAAAACCACGGGTATGGTTAGTAATTATTAAGCGCGTACTATTATATTTTTGAGGAACATGTCAAATGAAAATACTTACTAAATTGACATTCTCTCTAGTCGTCTCTTTTCTGCTGCCGTTGAATGAGACCTTCCTGCGCTCTTGCTCTTCAGTCGATTTCAGTTTTTTGCACAGCGGCTTGGGTTAACAATTGATTGACAGGCACCACAGTCCAATAGTGTTCTAGAAAAAAACGATGGGTGGAGACAATACTCGCCATGCACCAATTCAATGATTAGAAAGGCGGTCCTGTTAGGCCGCGCCTTCTATTACTAGTAAAACGGGAATTGTAGTTCAGAAGGTCGTTAATCTCAACGTTGTCATGCTGGAGCCAACGCAACATAGAACTACAAATACCACAATCCACAAAAAAACATTGGTAACTGCAGGGGCCCCGCCACCACTTGTTTATCTCAAAACCCTTATGATTAATGCAAAGCTTTCACCACATATTAATCTGTCTTATTCAATGAAAATATGTTAAATAATCGCTAAAAACAAAATGTCATTCAGTGCGCCTTATGCTGTATGAGCAATGCACCATTCTTTGTGTCAAAGTTCATTTGTATGAAGGCATCCTCAGTAAATATAGTCCAAGAAAACAAGTAGAATATTCTGTTTGTTTTCAGCCTGACTAATCCAGAAATAAGTTGTAAGAAATTGTAAGTGTTTGTGAATTTATTGTTTTGAAATGTAATCTATTTAAATTCTAAATGTAATCTATCTATCTATCTATCTATCTATCTATCTATCTATCTATCTATCTATCTATCTATCTATCTATCTATCTATCTATCTATCTATCTATCTATCTATCTATCTATCTATCTATCCATCCATCCATCCATCCATCCATCCATCCATCCATCCATCCATCCATCCATCCATCCACCCACCCATCCATCCATCCATCCATCCATCTATGAAATGTAATCTATTTAAATTCTAAATGTAATCTATCTATCTATCTATCTATCTATCTATCTATCTATCTATCTATCTATCTATCTATCTATCTATCTATCTATCTATCTATCTATCTATCTATCTATCTATCTATCTATCTATCTATCTATCTATCTACCCATCCATCCAGCCAGCCATCCATCCATCCATCCATCCATCCATCCATCCATCTAACTTATCTATCTATCTATCTATCTATCTATCTATCTATCTATCTATCTATCTATCTATCTATCTATCTATCTATCTATCTATCTATCTATCTATCTATCTATCCAGCCATCCATCCATCCATCCATCCATCCATCCATCCATCCATCCATCCATCCATCTATCTATCTATCTATCTATCTATCTATCTATCTATCTATCTATCTATCTATCTATCTATCTATCTATCTATCTATCTATCTATCTATCTGAATGTATGTCTATGTCTGTGTTGTTTTCTTTTCAACTAGTTTTTTATTGAAATCAGACAAGTATACAAACAAAACAAGCATCAACTGAACAATATTAACAAATCACTACAAAACCACAAAGGCAGACAAAATAATATTTTTTTGACAACAGTACTTGTCTTGAATTTAGAAGCTGTGGTCATTGTTTGCATGTGGAACCACTGAAGGCGGTAAAAGAAGAGGGAAATTTGAAACTGGGCGGCGCTCTCGGCTAACTTACAGCTCAGCTGTTGTTAACATGACACTCACAGCTAATCGAATGTAGCTAGATGAATATATCATTCATTCTTATGTGTAACGAAGAAACTGATTCATAATGGATCACTTAGGAGATAAGGTATATATACTTTTTGCTAAATTGTATTATCAAGGCTGTTTTTATTCTTATCGATGTTTACGACACAGTAGTCGTTAGCCTTATTAGCTTATGTGTGTATCGAGTCTCGAGCAGCAGCTATTCAACTATTTATCCAGGATATATCTCATTTGACTGTACTACATTTGTTTATACAACAGTGTGGCTAGCATCCTTTTTTTCTCAATGATTTTGGCTATTTTATACAACAGTGTGGCTAACATCCTTTTTTGTCAATGATTTTGGCTATCGTTACAGTGGTTATCAGATTTGTATTATATTTTTAACAGCATTTTTTTAAAGATGTTGACTCAGTATTTATAGCTGCATTGTTATTTTTTTGGTTGCTAATCTACTAATTTACGAATTTCAGAGTTTTAATCTAGACTCCCCGTCTAAACAGAGTTATGTTGGGAGTTTTTACCAGCCTCCAGAGACACTGTCAAGGCGACTGTACATGAACACAATCACAGATCAACTGGACAGAAAGAGCTCAGGTGTACATGACATCAGTCCACAGCTTTATCAAAGAGTACCTGATGCTGGAAGTAGAGGTAACGTTACATTGAGTCTGATAGCTGCATCCAGATATTTAAGACCAAACATGAAAGTTTCAAAACAATTTTTCCTGCACTTGAGCAGCAGTGATATCAGCCCTGAAAACACTGCAGGAGAAGATGCGACGCTTGGAGCTGGAGAGAGTTCAGGCAGAGAGGAACATCCAACAATTTTCTCATCTTACTCGATACCAGGCAGATGCTTCTGCGCAGAGAGAACCGGAGAACAGCACACGAGAGAATCACTCCACACAGAGGAATGGTAACTGAAAATGTTGAACTGCAGTTATCTATTTTCAAAGTTCTTGGAAAGTCAAATAGAAAGTATGCACAAAGTAGTCACTGTTACGTTTCTTTTCAGGGCTGGTTTCTAAGCTTCATTCTGCAGAAAAGCGTTGCTCCCAGCTGGAAAAACAGCTCGATTATATGAGGAAAATGGTGGAGGGTGTAGAGAAAGACAGAATCACTCACACAGACAGACAGGTGAGCAGGCTGACAAAAGCAAAAGTGATTGTGCCATATATTCCAAGGGCTTAAATATGCTGTAATTTCTCATCTGAAAAATACATTTTGCATACAAACTTAAGAGTCTTTCAAAGCTTTATCCCTTTCTCTTTTTCCTCCTCAACTCTAATTGGTATTTAGGAATCTCTTTGCAAGGAGAGCAAACATACAGACCCACAGATGCAGGTGCAACTCAATAAATTGGAAAGACTGGAAAATGAGTATCTCAAACTCACCAGTACACAGTCTGTGGCTGAGGTACACGCGTATACCTAGGCTATATGTATTATATATTCATGATATAATGATAAAATATACATGATCTAGAAGTTTGGGAACATTACTTTTTATGTTTAAGTATTTTATGCTCACCAGGGCTACATTTATTGCATTAAAATACAGTAAAAACTAATATTGTGAAATATTATTACACATTTAAAAAAAAAAAAGTTTTCTATTTGAATATATTTTAAGATGTCATTTATTCATGTGATGGCAAAGCAGAATTTTCAGCATAATTACTCCAGTCTTCAGTTTCACATAATCCTTCAGAAATCATTATAATACGCTGATTTACTGCAACAATTATCAATGTTGATTTTTTTATATTTTTTTGCTGCTTAACACATTTGTGAAATCAGTGATACCATTATTTGTGATATGATTAAAACATTTTTTTTATCAAAAGTGACAGTGAAGATATTTATAATGTTACACAATATTTCTATTTAATAAATGCTTTTAATTTCTTTTATCAAAGAATCCTGAAAAAAGTACCACCACTTCCATCACCAACATTGATACAAATAATTAGAAATGTTACCTGAGCAGAAAATCAGCATATTAAAATGATTTCTGAAGGATCATGTTATTCTGAAGACTGGAGTAATTGATGCTAAAAATTAAGCTTTGCCATCACAGGAATAAATTACATATTAAAATAATAAGTATTTAAATATATTTTAAAGTGTAATAAAATTTCACATTCAAATATTGTAATGTTTCTAAACTTTTGACAGGTACTGTTGTTTATAAGACACAGTTTTCTTTTTTTAAACTGTGATTGTCTTTCATCTGCAGAGGAAGATTGAGCTTTTAGAACAGAAACTTTTAGAGGAGGAACATGAACGCAAACTTGTGCAGGAGAAAGCAGAGGAGGTAAAACAAAAAGCGTATATCCTTATAAAAAGATGTATGAATCATGTTAACTTTTCCCTTAGAAAAACATCTTTCACTAAAAAAGCAGTTTTTTCATCTCCTTGACTTTCATCAGTTGCAGCGAGAGCTTGAAAACAATCTACTCACCCTGTCTGCTGTGACTCAACCTAAAGGCAAGAAAAAGAAAGGCAAGGCCTCCTGCAAGGTAATAATGTATTGTGAGCACTAGGTGGCAGTATATTTACAGAACACACCCGGACACTACCCGATGTAGTCTTTAGTGAGTGAGTGCTGTTAATTGTGGTGTCTTTCTTTTCATATTATGGCAGAAGGTGGAAACTGCCCACGCTCCTAAAGCTAAACACCTCCCATTTGTGGCTGGAACAGTGAGTATGACCTCATCCTGACACAATTATTTTATTTACAGTTTTAATCATACACAGTGGTCCAAATGTCTAGAATTACTGATGAATATGTATATATATTATAAAAAGATTGGTTGGGGGTCAGTAAGGTGTTTTTATTTTTATTCTTTAAAATAAACAGCCATTTCCATCAAGGATGCTTTCAGTGAATCAAAAGTGACAGTCAAGACATGTATAATGTTACAATGCTTTTACTGTTTTTACCCATTTTTGTTGAGCTTTGGTTTTCATAAGACTTCTTTCAAAAACATTATATATATGTTTAATTAATAATTGTAATTAATGTAAAATTTTCTCTCTTTCAGTCGACCAGTCCCAGCCACTCAGTCAATGCCAATGTTCAGAGTGTGCTGCATATGATGAAGCACAGAAACCCACGCCTGTGTGAGAGAATGAGCGCTCTGAGTAAGTCAGGTTCTGAGAACCAACGGGTCCATCGCAGGCCTCCGTCCTCCCCCAGCAAGGAAACTTCCACAATGGGCAGCCTATCTGAACTTCTGCTCGCCCTTCAGGATGAACTGGGACAGATGAGCTTGTGAGTAACACCATGAACAATTAAGATTAGCTTTTGAAATGTGTTGGCGGGGATAATTAGACAGGAATTAAATACTGTTTGCGTGTGTATGTGAGACAGTGAACACCAGGAACTGGTCAAACAGATAGACGAGACCATTCAACGAGAGCTTCGTGACGATCTGGAACGAGAGCTGGACTGTCTGGTCAAAAGAATGGAGGAGAAAGCCGCTCAAATCACCCAACTGCGCAAACATCAGCAAACAGTGAGTTTGTACTTAGTTTTTTTTTTTTTTTTTACTAATTATAGTTACAAATTACGCATCCAACACATTTAATAGTAATTAAATAAAAACATTCCCAACCCTCGTCCTGGAGTACCCCCAACACTGCACATTTTATGCCTGGAACACACCACAATTTTCGAATTCGTTCTACATGACAGTCTGGCTTACCATTTAGTTGCTGTTTCAATAGGAAGAATTACTTAATAACTTTCATTTTCTAAACATTCAGGTTAAATCCTATCAGTTCTAAGAAAGACCTTTACCTTTAAAGAATAAGAGGTTAAACAATAACATTATATATATATGAATGAAACGCGTCATCCTTCAACTGCCCTTTGTTCCGATTATTGGTTCAGAATAGCAGCGTAAGCTTCCAGCCTTACACCGGTCTATGACTCTTCCCCCTGAACTTTCCCTGTATCTCATTAGCTGTAGGTTGTCGCTGATTTAATTTCCAGTGAAAACACATTTCACACTCCCTGATTTTGGGTGTGTCTCAATCAGCTCTACCTAGCTGCCAAGCTCATGAATCAGTATATCATGATCACGAAATCATACACAGGTAAGGACAGTAAAGGTTCACTACACTTTGGGACACGGATGATGTGAAAACGTCCTCATTGTACATAATCACTACTGCTATCTTTCTAAAATTACTTGTAAAGTTATCTTAAGTACATTATGGTAAATACTTTGCTTATTAAATATACGTGCAACATTTCATCTGCAAATGTTAGCTAGATTATGTTCATAACCTGTCTAGCGATGCATGTTTTTGCTGAGATAGATTAAAATAATGGTTTGTATGTTTAGGGTGCGAACGTTTCAGTGCACTGGAAAGATTATGTGCTTGAAACAGCCCTTAAAATGGCACACTCTCTGATCTATGCACCCTCTGAGCCACAGACAGGTCCAGATATTTAGCATGCTATATATTTCACGGGTATTGGTGTTTGTACAATGTACTCCTGGACCAGGGTTGGGAACCAATACACAAGCTGTATACACACAATACACAAGCAAATAACCAATACACAAGCTGCTCTGTCTAAATGTATGTTTTTGCTCCTGTAGGTTCAGAAACTCTCCCAGCCGTCCTGTAGCCCCAAGCAGAAGCAGCAGAAGCCACATCCGACTGCCAGTATAGAGGGAAAAACTAGGGCGCAGAGTGGTGTACAACCATTGCCACCATCTCCTGTCAAAGCCTCACCCAGCACGGGTCAGAAACAGAGCAGGAGCAGTCATGAGTCCCTGAAGCTCCTCAGAGAGACACAGAAACTGTGTTCTAGCCTCCGCAGACAAGACATCACATGGGAGACATAGTTATATTATCCTGAAACACACATCAAGGGCATAGGAGAGTCATCGCTGTTCAAGAGGACACTGGAATGATGCCCTATCACAAAACACTGATTCATCAGCTTTCCATGACTTTAATGAGCTTAATTGATTTTTATTTCGGTTTTGTTTGAACAAGTTGTAAATAAAATATCTATGTATGTTTTAAAGTGCAGAGACCAACTTGGCTTTTTAATCTGCAGTTTATTTGCAAGCTGATCTCAGATCACTTTTCCATTTGATTTCTTACGGATAAAATTAAATCCCACCCTACATTTACTGGTTCGGTATGCGGTTTCACCCAGAAAAAAGACACAAAATAACAATAATAATAGATTTAAATTAACACTTATTTTACACAATCAGTTGAAATGTCAAGGAGGCTTTTTATTTATTTCACCCAATCACAGTATGAGAAAATAACACCGGGAAAGATAGGTCACAAGGGAAAAACGAGCATCCTTGCAGCATCAGCTCTTTCTTATGAGATTTACAGTCAGCTGACACATTGTTTCCTCCACTGTTTCCACAACAAAATCATCCCATTCTCTGACATATCTTATTACAAACCACGCTGTTCACCTTGAGAAACCACAGATGTGGAAAAAATAGTAAAGCAATGACAAAAATATGTAAAAAGGGGAACAAAAGCATTCTAGATGTAACCAGGCAGAAAAGATGGATTCTGTTTTGTTCAGACGGCTTTATAGAATTACGCTCTGTGGCACAGAACAGATCAAATCAGTATTGCATAAACTCATTTGAATGCAGGAAACACTGGCGAACACACACAGACTGCAATATTATTGATTCTTGGTGATCTTGGTGTTTCTTGGGCATTGCATGTTTTTTGGGACATTTTGACTGGTTGTTACTGTGCATAATGAACCCTTATCATCTTTTCAATAGTGTGTGTGTGTATGAGGAAAACTTTGAATCACAACACATGCACATCCTGTCCAGAGAATAAATTTGAGGATTGAATGCAGACTAAGCAGGAATGAAGCTAACCCTCAGGGTGAGCCGAGCGCATATCCTGTTAGTTAAACATTACAGACTGTTTTCTAGAACACAGCTACATTGAAATAGATTAAACATAGTCCAGGGATAATACACTGTGACTAGACTTCTGTTGTAAACTTCATTATCTTAAGGCTCTTTATTCTAAATAATATAAGCCCTTCTCCACCCTTATGTTCCCTTGGCTGTTCTCTAAGGTCCTCTAGTGCTGGTGTGATTCTTATTCCCTGAATTTAGATCATCATCCATGGACAGCGGGTCTGAAATATTACGTTTGTTTCGGGTTCTTGACACTGCATTTGCTTTGTCCATTTCTATCTTTGTCAGTAATGGCTCTTTAAGCTGTATTCCCATTTGCTTTCTATGCTCTGCAAGTGACCTTGGGTTCTATAAAGGTGATCCGATACATAAACCTTAAATCTCATATTTTTGTGCATACTGTATATTTGTTAAACAGTAAAGACACCACAAGTGCATGAGATCTTTTTCAGTTTTATCGTTTGTGTCTAAGATATTGATAATTATTTCTCTCGCAGCTTTTAATGTGAAATACTATTTACAAACCTGTACACCGAAAAGACAATCCTTATATTTAGCAAACTGATTTAAGAAGTCCATTTCCAAAATGGAAAATAAATAAAGTTTGAAATAAGAAATAAAGTCATGTTCGATGCAAAGTTACAGATGGGAGACAAAGTGACAATTATAAAAAAATAAACCGTCACAGCTGCAAGATTTAATGTTGCAATAGGAGATGCAAAAAAAAAAAAAAAAAAAAAAAAACCGGAAAGAAAATCCAATTAATTAGATTCATTTCACCCTTGAGAGCGAATCTCCATAATGGCAATCGGTAAACATGTGCCACAGTAAAAGTGTTACTCTCAAAGCTTTCTTAAAAGGATACTCCACCCCAAAATTAAAAATCTGCCATCATTTAAACACTTTCAAGCTGTTCATCCCTGTATGAGTTTCTTTCTTCTGCTGAACACAAAAGAAGATATTTTTAAGAATGATTGGAACTTTGGCACCATTGACTTCCATATTATTTATTTTTTCTACTATGGAAGTCAACTATTTGGTTCCAATCGTTCTTCAAAATATATTCCTTTGTGTTCAGCCGAAGAAAGAAACTCGTACAGGTTTGCAACTTGAGGGTGAGTAAATTATGACATCATTTTAATTTTTAGGTGGAGTATCCCTTTAAATAGAAAGACAAAAAACAAAACACCACCCACAACTGTTTTGTATTACTCAAACTTTAATTAATTTATCACATTTCAACCTAAATGCGAATGCAGATCTGAAACGAGGGAAAACACAAGAACAAAAGATAGATATCCGAGTTCCAGAGAAATAAATCCAACATAATAGAGCATAAAACAATTAAGGCAGACTTTCTGGAAACAGACAAAAAAAGTAATCAACTAGAGTTTTATGTGGGGTGTGTGCAGTGATTTATGAAAAGCAATAAATGCACAACTGAACAATAGGCCAAAGTAATTACAGTTATTTAAAAAAAAGACATTCAAATCTAAATCTTTGTAATTCGATAACTAAATGTTGGCGCAGGCAAGATGCAATACTCCATGTTTCTCTCATTAACTACTCACAAGTTCATTAATCCTAACCTTCACTCCAAGTCTCTGAGTAGAAGTCTTCATGACAATAATAATCTTCATTTAATCTTAAATAATTAAGGCACTTTTTCCTCAAAAGGTGCAGAAAAGAATGCAAAACTAGCTCAGGGAGTGATGGCAAAATATGGCATTGTTATGGCTCTTTCTATGGAAATCTGATGCATGCACACAAACATTATGGCATAAGAAAACAAGGCCACAGACTATTTAAAGTTAGGTTGAATTCTCTGAGTGTGCGAAAGGATTTGAGTCATTCATCTATAAACATTAGGATCCTTCACAGAGCTCTGAATATGGATCTAAAATGGACAGTTCACCCAAAAAAATTCTAATTGTCATCATTTTCTCACACTCATGTCTTTCCAAACCTGTACGACTTGATTCTTCAGTGAACAAAATATATTCTGAAGAATGTTTTAAATGTTTAAACAATGATATACAATGACCTTTTCTACTAAAGAAAGAAATGCATACATGTTTGAAATGACATGAAGGTAAAAAAAAATAAATAAATAAAAATAATATATATATATATATATATACATACATTTTACTCAAATATGCAAATATATATATATATATATATATATAAAAGGGACAATTGTCATTTTTGTGTGTACTATCCCTTTAAATCCATACATATAATATGTCCTTTACAGCCCTTTGGATGCGCAGCTAAAATGTGGGATCTTTGGATGTAGCCTGATGCTATACACACAATACTGTGATGAGTTGTGTAGTTATGCATTTATGTAACCAGTGTTTTTAATTTGGCAAAGCTGAAGAGAAATGGCAAACAGGATTTTATCTGACAACACTACAGGCAAGATGAAGCTTGTGAAGCATTATAGCAGCTTTTTAGTGACTCATGCTAAAATAGACACCTTTGGCATTTAAGCACCGTGATACAGTATGACAACGCACAAGCAATTAGAGTGGTTCAATAAAGAGTGAGGCCTTAACAGTCATATTTTGAGAAACATGCAGTTAACACAATGCTGGAAATCAAACATTACGATGTTGGGATGTCAGAGAAGCAGAAGGATGAAACTAAAGCACGCCCCAAACAAATCTATTCATTTCAATATTTGCAACACAAATAACATGAATCGCTTCCTAAGCCAACGACATTACGACTCGCAGAGGAAGTTATTAGCAGCAAGCTAATCAAGATTATTACATTTCAAATTTTAGAAAAAGAAATGGAGGGAAACAGGCCCTAGGCCTATACACGTACCAGCGCAATAGCCAGACAAATGCATTTAAGAACAGAGTACTGAAAGAAATATGCTGAACAAGGCAACAATTAAACATAGTCAAGGTCAATTCTGCATTTAAAACAAATCTACTCAAACTTAATATTTATATTCCAGAAATCACACCCAAGCATTAAATCATGAGTTTGACACGGCTCTATTCTAAGTGTCCATCAAAATCCGCAGATTAATGTAGAAATACAAAACATATCCTGAATGCACTTTTCTAGGGCAAATTTCAGTTCTTTTTAAGGGTATTTAACACAAATGCTCCTAAAAAAACATCAGGCTCTGTGTACAAGCCCGGTGATAAACTCACTTTAAGACTGTTTAAGTGTCTTACATAAAATTATATTGATTTCAGTTTATGGTCAAAGAGTTCAGATTATGTACAAATATCAATCTGCTTTTGAATGGGAGTACTAGAATCTGCCTGATATTTCTGTGCAAGCAAGAAATGACCCTTAAGAACTGGGAGAAGCTTAGAGAAACATAACATTAATCCATAATTTAACAAATGAATTAACCTTTAATTATCTACTCTGTATAATCTAGCGATCAGTCCAGCTGGCAGACACTATCGACACAAGCACGCACGCGTGTCCATAGACACGCCGACATACAGGCAGACACGCTAACACAGAGCCTGGCCTCGATGGCGGCCCACCACCAACACATTCACACTTTTAAGGCTCACTTTTAAGGCAGCAAGCCACTGCCTCCACCTAAAGGCACTTTGACTCATCCGCCAATCATTCTGAATGGGATCCTCGATACTCTTTACTCAGTGTGCCTCGTTCCGTTCTCATGTCCGGCAGAATCCCCATAAATTTACAACTTAAAATGGCCTATACGCTGGTAAGCCCACCACAATGATCCCCGATGAGGTCATGGGATGTTAACTAAGGGTCTATAACGCATCTCTGACATTACCTAGCACTCCACTGTCAAAATTGTGGGAAATGGGGAGCGAAATGCCAGGTTTAACTAGTTTTGAGAACTGATGTCTACTGGTTCTCTAATTGAGATGGTTTAAGCTGGGGAATGTAATTTATTGCAAACACTTTTGCTCTCTTGGTTGGTATGAATGTGAGCAATGGCCAAAAAAGTGACACCACAACACTAACAGAGTTTTCATTCACTCCTGAACTATACAGATATTATTTTTGCACTTGGTGAAGATGACTGGGTAGAATATCAAAAAAACCTAAGTCATGGCAACTGTATAAAACACTGTTCTAGTGAAGATACCTGACCATTGTGAAATTAACACTGGATATGGGGGAAGTATTGCCACAGGCATGATGAGAAGATTCTGGCTCATGCCCCTTCTCAGAAGAAACACCAAGATATTGAGACGAAGAATCACTGTGTGGTCATCAAAAATGAAACATTTTAAGACATAATTTGGAAAGTTGTGGTTGTTCATGAAAGCAGCAGGACACGTTTTGCACACCCCATAATTCCAATGCTCAAAAAATCTTTTGTGAATTTGTGTTAATGAACTTGAGTGCTTGTGAGAGCTCTAATATAAATGAATTCTAAAGCTCCAATAACAGGCATCAAATATGAGGCTAAACATGGGGGAATCACAAGAGTGTTTAAGAAATATCATAGAATCTGTGTGTACTGCTCTCTATCTCGCTCTCTTTTGGGGTCGGAGTGTAGGTTTTGTGGTGCCGTGTGGGGCCTCCAGGTGGCAGAGCGTTACAGGGTGTGGTAGTTGCGATCCTTGGATTTGCAGAACTTGTAAAGGAAAAAGATGACAGCTTGAAGGCCAAGGACTAACACAATTCCCCCGATGAAACTGGCGGCATCAAATGTGGACGTCTTAGATGGAGAAGTTGTAGGTGACGAGGTTGATGTAGAGTCTGTGGAAAAAAAACAAATTTTCAGTCAAACCTGACAAGGTGAAGAAGTGCTTCACTCTTTAAGAGGTGCAGACATCAGAGAGCTGTACTTACTTGCGGCCGTCACGTTTGTAGTCGGAGCTGAAGTGGAGGTGATTGTCGAGGAAGTGATTATCGTGGTAGCTAAACAGAAAAAAGTGCTGTTCAGATTCATTTTTGTATTGTATCAGTAAACAATAAAAATGCCAAAACATCACATTTTTCAGACTGTTATTTGTTATAATCTGATGTGGGTCTATTTTATTTTTTAATGCGTTTTGAAGTCATTGTGAGACGGATACACATGATAAAATGCTCTATTTGAGTGTTTAATTAGGCCTGTATCTATTTTAGCATGTAGTAAAGGAGGTATCAGCTGTTTTCATAGTGTATAAGGGCCCTGAATCATTGAAATGTAAGTGGGCTTTAATGCTTATTAATCAATTAAATTACTTTTACATTTGTTGATTTTATTGTTTATTTTCTATTCATTATTGTTATCCGTTATTCTATTTTATGGCTCTTTATTTATATTGTATTTAAATGTGCTCTTTGAATAAAATTGACATTGGGCTTTGAATTAGGTAGGGATGCACAAAGATATCGGGAAAACATTGGTATCGGCCGATTAAAGCTTGAAATGACCATCATCGGCAGATATATGACTATTACTGCCGATGAGCCTTGCCGATAGGGTGGCGTGTTTCCTATGCGCACGTGACGACTGTGAACGAAGCATAAGTGCCAGCAACTTAAAACTTCCAACTAGCGGTGAGCGATAATCACTGTTTTTGATCGTGGATGATTAAAATGTCTCCATATCAAAAATATCTTAATTTGTGTTCCGAAGATGAACGAAGGTCTTACGGGGTTGGAACAACATGAGGGTGAGTAAATACTGACAAAATTTTCATTTTTGGGTGAACTATCTCTTTAATAAAGGTTTTTTTTTGCACTTGAAACAATACAAATTCAACGGTATCAGTATCTGGCAAAATTAGTTTGAAAATATCGGCATATCGAATATTGCCCAAAATACAATATCGCGCATTCCTAGAATTAGGTAGTTATGTGTTTTTGAGGTGCGTATGAATGCAAATGATGCGAGTCTGGAAGGTCGTACCATTGGTAGCCATCGTGGTGTTGGGGCTCACTGTCGAGGTCTGTGGTTGGTCTGCAGTCCAGAAAAAACAGGCATCCAAACATACAATTGGTCAAGTCACAGAACATTCATTTCATAGCAATTGCTTCTGTTTTGGAGTTGATGAATGCTACAACCAAGCACTATATTAGTTATTATAAAAAGGAGCTTAAGATAGTGGGACAGGACTTACCTGTGCAGTTCACATTAACGCAGTTGGTTTGGTTTACAAGACTGCCATTAACACACTTAGGTGTGACATCACCTGAAATGATGAAACAAATTAAACAAACAAGACCAAATAATGCCACAGTGCATTTTAACTGCAAGAAAAAAAAAATTGGTACTCAAATATGGGCATCTAAATATCAACTGATTGATTGAAATATTTTAGCTGCACTAATTAAAATCACAGAAGTTCTTCAACAAATGGCATTTCATTTTATCATTTGTTTGTGTTGTTGACTCAAATAACCCTTGAACACTGAACTTCTGTTAACTTGTTATAAAAAACAGCAAGACATACCACATACACTTTGAATATAACAGTAAAAAAAAAAAAAAAAAACACGGGAGGAACTGGGGTGATTGCATAGATTTGATACACCTAACATTCCACCAGATAAAGCCACATAAACAGTCCTATGACTTATAAGAAGGTTATTGATCCAGAAATCATAATGAGGAACTGGCAGTATGTCACACTCAAATAAGAAAGAGATAAAGAAAGAGTAGGAGGAATCAAGGAAGACTTTCCAGAAACTCCTGAGTCACAATCAGCTGGTTTCCATTTACCTCCTCTGTCACACATGAATAGCATTGTATGCAAGTATGACATAGAGCTCAGCACTCAAATTCCAACTGATAGCAATAATTCAATTTTTACACATTGTTTCGAAATCCACTTTACCAACACCGTTTTCTTCCTCATGTTTGTCATTGGCTTAAGTTCAGAAAGCCCTGTCACAATGAACTCGTTGACTAATTCATGCACTAACAGACAATGCGTGCTTAAAACGCAAGCATTGTCACACCGAAATCATGTTCATTAATTATATTATACTTAAAATTACTTAAAAATAAATTTTAGGATTTGTTTATATTATATTGTGAGCCATATTGTTCCGAATATAAGACGACCCTAATTATAAGACGAATTATTAAACTTTTCTTTGCTTGTTAGCATCTGTTTTTTGTTTTTTTTGGCTCGCCATCTTCTAACATTACACTCAGACTGTTTCTGGGCTGATAATTAGAGTTGTTTGATGCATTTATTAGTCCTCCTGGGGGGTACACTTGTTTTACACGTCTTTGAATCTTGCTATTGTTGTGGTGTATTATTGAAATCTAGACCCTGAATATAAGACGACTAATTTTTTAAAATGTATTTCCAAATAAAAAGCACCCTCTTATATTTGGAAAAATATGGGTATATTATATTAATGAAATAACCAAGTTCTCAAGTTAGAAAATAAATAACCTTGTGTAGTCTTAGTTTAGGCCAGTATAAAAGATTTTGGTTGTTGCTACAAGTTGCTATTGTGTGACTGACTGTGTATTGAGTTCGAGGAGTCGAGCATAACAGCGTCCTTGGTCGTCACGGACTTTTGAGTATTTAAATGTCAAAAGAAGCGCTTCTCAGTGAGAACTGAGCCACAAGATAAAGCTAAAACAGGTGTGTTAAACTACAGCTTAGTGTATGAAGTACGTACATTGTGTTCTTTATGCACTCAAGACAGCATACACAGAGAAAGAAATGTCACATGCTTTTGTGAAAGGTACAACTCTCATGTTGAAATTCCACTATGACAACACATCAAGATGTTTTCAATTCCTTGCTTTCTGAATAAGTGCTTGACTAGCAAAAATGTCCTTACATTCCACACTGCTTCCCACCCCTCAGCAGTTTGTATGGACAGCTACCCAGCTCAAGTTATGATTGAAGGGAAATGCATACATGTTCATTACTTTAAAAGGACTGCACTGGCACTATTCGGAGCAATCAGTTGAATGAATATGAGGTCAATCAGCCTGCTTTTACTGGTTTTCACAGATTAGACTGCAAAACCTGCTGTTCTTAATGGAACAGAGTGAAAATCTGTGCCTCTGTCTCAGTACACATGTGCCAATGAGAAGGCCACATAGTTTACTGGAAAGATACATCACATGAAAACTTCCACAAGTTTAATTAGTCAAATAACTTACAAACTAGAGATAGACCCAAACTATCTGGGCTTGATTCGGTTGTTCTGAAGATACGTTAAAAAAAAAAAAAAAAAAAGTTTAGCCTACACTTCTGGTCTTTGGGGCCAATATGACCCTACATTGAAATGAATGGGAATTGTGAAAAAAACAAAATATATTTTCTTCATGTGTCAAAAAAAAAAAAAAATCTGTTTAAAAAAAATTTTTAAACAGAAATGAAGGCCTAGTACTAGACTAGAGCATAAATGCTATGTATCATAAAAAAAATATATTTCATATGGTGTAGTTGAGGAATTGTGTGGTATATGGATACAAAAGTACTACATATCTCCAAAAACACAGCATTAATGAATAGATGAAAAGTAAGCAAAAAAATGATATTTGTATGATTAAAAATGTATATTTTTTGTACAATTACTCAATCAATTGTTGGGGTTGTATAGACCCAGAAGTGTAAACAGGAAACAAAGACCATTTAAAGGTTAAGAGTCTAATACCTGATATGCAAAATACATACAGAAAACCTAAAGGGATGGTTCACCCAAAAATAAAACTTCCGTCATCATTTACTCACTCATTGACTTCCTTAATACTTGTTTTTATACTATGGAAGTCAATGGGGGCCAGCAACTGTTTGGTTAACAACATTTTTCAAAATATCTTCTTTTGTGTTCAGAAGAACAAATAACTTTATACAGGTTTGGTACAACTTGAGGGTGAGAAGTTGTTTTTTTTTTTCATTTTGGGTGAATAATATCCCATTAAATGATTTTCAATAATTGTTTTTATTGTTTTTTAACAATAACTACTACATCCTTTGACTAGAACAATAAGCACATATGATATGTACTGGTATTATGTATTATAATAATATTAAAATAATAAAAAAAAGTATTATTATTATAAAAGACTGTTTCAACAATCTCTAAGAGATGTGACACTACATACAGTCAAAGTGTGTGATTTTGGTGACTTTATATACAGTAGAGTAGAGCATGCCATCAAGTTATGATTGTCAGATTACATCACCAAAGCAGGTATTAATATTTAACTCAGTGAAACGTTACAATATTTGTTGTGCAAACACTGTGCCTTCCATTTCATCTCACCTTGCTTCTACACCCACACAGTCATACGTCAATAATTCAAATGAGTATATTTACAGCACATGTCGCAACACTTATATTTTAGCCTGAACATTGTTTCAAACAGGCAAATTTGCAAACCTATTTCTACTTATCTAAAGAACCAGTACACACTAGTCTGCGCTACAGTAGGAAAGACCCAGAATTTTCCAGTCTGTTGTTTGAGTGAATGAGTGTAAACCGATAGCATCATCTCTAGGGAGCTGATAGCACAATGCTAATGCAACTGTCTTTGTTATGGGGGAGGTGCGGTTACAGACACTACACCTGCTCGAGCACGTCAGACCACTTCTCTTTCCAGTCAACCATAGTCTCATACTTTGAGACACATTACAGACCCACGGATTGGTGAGAATGACAGCTGCCTTTTAATTTAAGATTGAGAACAAAGCCTGTGAAAGTGACTCAAGGAAGTGGTTTATAACAATGTTGTTGAAGGCAGTGTACTATAAATTATGTTTAACTATTAACCAAATTACAGATTACGTGGGAAAAAAGGGGTTCTTTACTTCTTTTCCCCCCAGATTTTAGCAGGAATTGTCATTACTGTAATACAAACCTCTGTACTGCAATTTAACAGAATACTATGCGCCATGTAAAATAGGAAACAATAAAAAAAACTATCAATCACATAGTCAAGGATCTTTTAAAGTTATAATCTGCTAACCGGTATCTCTTCTACAATGTCAGGGCTCGACAGTGCAAACTCTTAATTCGCATTTGCGACTAAATGTGGGCGAACTGTAAAATGCATTTAGGAGTATGCATGAGTGTGAATAAAACTTCTTAAATATCTTAAATGGTATAACAAACGTTGTGTCATTTATAGATGTTTTCAATTTGGTTATGGAAAAACAACGAGTTATTAAACTTTAAAAGGCGATTATTTAATTGAAAAAAAATAACACTGATGAAAAGCATTGATGCGCTGAATGATTTTCACCTTCACTTTCTGAAAGCTGATGAAACGGCAGAAATGTAAATAGATCTAATGTATGCTGTACTAAAGTGTATTAACTCTAATTATATTGTCGTTTACTCAATTGAATTATGTTTGTCACTCATTTATCATTTGTGTATTTGAGTTGTGTTTACAATGAAAATTGAGTTGAAGACATGTAAAGTCTACAGTAGAACGCAAAAGCCGAATCCCGGACATTTAGAGACTCACACTAGTAGCCTAGACTTGTTGTTTAACTACTGCACTGTTACCGGTAGGCGTGGCCTCCTAGGGCAGCGAAACAAGTGCATTCTGGAAATTGTTGTCTTTCATCCACATAAGCCAAAAACACATTTTCTGGCTTTTCTCAGTCTAGAAAGCTCCAAATTCAAAAATAATTTCACATTTCTTCTACACAAATGACCCATTTTAAATACACATTCATCTTTCCAGGCGTGAAGTATCCCTTTGTTGTTCAACAATGCGTGACTACATGTAATGTCCTTCCGATATGTATCCTTGTTTTCGCATGTGTCCGGTTGCAGTCTCTTTATTTCTGAAGCCACTCCGAAATCCAAACAAAGTCTTTTGCATTTTACAGCGGGTGAATCTGTTGTCACTGGTGATTGTCGTTTGAACCTTTCAGGATCCGCCACCAAATGGATAAGTTTAATTATATCAAGTGCTGTGAGAAAAGGCTATAAATCTCCACCTCCAACATCCTTCCTCACACGTAGCCTACTAGCTGAGACTCCTCCTTCATGTCTACAGATGTGATGTAGTGACGCAAAGTCATGCTCGAATCTCCCGTGGAAATCAACCAGTACCACTGGAGTTAAACCCATGCTTACCGCTTTGAACCGAGCTACGACAAGTAGATAGCGTTGAACACTGGCTGGTCATGCATTTTCTCAAATATGTATTTTGGATAATTTTTAACCCCCCAAAAAACTACGGACTGCAACTTTAAGTTTTTTTTTAAACAATATATGAAATATATTTCATTATTACTCAATCATTTCTGTTGCAATTTTAATTTTCCACTCCTTTCATCGACCATCTTTCTGCTTACTTTCTCTCCTGTTTTTTCCCCTGAAGAGCCTTGAGTGCCATAGCAACAGTGTGTGCATTTCATTAGTATATTTACTCTCTCTGATTCATTTCACGTCATCCATTAGCAAAGCGGCATGGAAAAGGACTTCAGGGATTAAAGGGCAGTTACTTCAGGTTCACACAGACCGAAGCCAGCATTAATCACTGAATGAACTGCCGAACACACAAACACTGGTTTTCATTTATTATCTGTGTCCCACATCAGGAACACTTTACAGTTGCATGGTCTGAGTTTAGATAAATTTATGAGCAGACCAACTAATATAATCTGTGGGAACTACAAGAACTGGATCTTAGGAAACATCATGTATGTATAAATTAGGGCTGTGCAAAAATTAATTGCAATTAATTGCAACCAAAATAAAAGTCTGTGTTTACATAATATATTTGTGTGTGCTGTATCTAATTATTTTGTATATATAAATACCATATGCATGCATGTATATATTTAAGAATTATTTGCGCTTAAATTCTGTATATATAAATATATATATATATATATATATATATATAAATATTTTATATATGAATAACACATTTTCTTAAATATATACATGCATGTGTGTGTATTTATTACAAAATAATGATATACAGCACACACAAATTTATTATGTAAACACAGACTTTTATTTTGGATGTGATTAATCGCAATTAATTTTTGCACATCCCTAGTATAAATATATATCAATACTAAACAGTAAACATTTTCAAGAAGAGGTTGCTTAATCATGGCTTGTCTGCATTTTACTGTTTTCAGGTCAGTTAATTGTTGTCATGTGAGCTTTGAATTTGACATGGAGGAGGGACTGACCTGTGCAGCTCATCCACTGGCAGGAAGTCACATTTTCACATGCATCACAAGATTGCAATGGACCACAGACATCATCTGCAAAAGAAACAAACCAATAAATAACATATTGTGCATGCCAAACATATCATTGAGATTTACAACAATCATATCATAATCAAGCAACACATTGGCTCATCTAATACAAGTTTACTCCATTGTTGAGCTAGATGTGCTCCCAGAGCATGTGTCAGAGTTATCTCTTGGTCTTTAACCCTGACAACAAGGAAAACTATGTAACCACAATCAGTGAACGATTTTTCCAAGTCTCTAGGTGAAAGATAACAGTACCATGTTTACAATATGCAATCTTCTCTGCTTATGAATTGTAGCTGAACAGAAAAAGTGGGAAGAGGACCAACGAATCTTGTGATCAAGTGAATATGATCTAACGTCTCTGGCAAAAGTCAAACAAAGGTTGTTTAAAGCCCTAGTGACACTCTTAAAGTCGCAGTAAATTGGAAGTAAAGACAGATCTTTTCTTCTGTATTGTGACGTACATCCGAGTGTAATGGATTAATCAAAAAAGAAAAAAAAATGTAGGTTGGGGACTTGGTTCTGTGTATCGGTTGTTGACTGATTTTTGAGAAAGATGTAAGCGCTGCAATTAAAAGTGGAGGCAGATTAACGTAAACTTGGAGACGGGGTTTAAGCGGACTAAAATGAATGGAGAAGTCATGCATACGTCACCGGAATATTAAGCCATGACATTTTGCTGAAACACTACATGTCTATGTCTTTGTCCCAACAGAAAGAGAGAGAGAGAGAGAGAGAGAGAGAGAGAGAGAGAGAGAGAGAGAGAGAGAGAGAGAGAGAGAGAGAGAGAGAGAGAGAGAGAGAGAGAGAGAGAGAGAGAGAGAGAGAGAGAGAGAGAGAGAGAGAGAGAGAGAGAGGTGAAGACAGAATTCTCAACATGTGATTCTCTGGATAAATATAGATCTTCACATTGCAGTAGAGGTGATCTAAATGGAAGCAAAGCCACAAGATAACAAAATAGAAAACTATTATATATTTGATTATGTTACATAACAGCGAACATTTTGTGTGACAGATTAATAATTAATAATCGTTTCAGAAACACTATACTATTTTGAGGTCGGTAGAGGTCAGGGCAAAATAAAACAAACAAAGAAAACAAAAGTCAAAATATTTGACATACAAAAAAAAAAAAAAAACACGTTAGCTTTGCGGATCGATGCAAAAGTGCATCAACCGCGTTTAACAACTTATTAGAACTATATCGGGAATCAAAAACCGGTTCCTTAGAATAAAAAAATAAAGGCACAGATTGTTTTTTGAATGCCCTTAACAGTCGTTGAACGTTCACACTTCCGCCGGTATGGAATTGAACATCGTAGTTTCCTGTAATAAATTACGCCACTACTGAATAGCGCGAAAGATTCATCACATCGACCAATAACTTATATCACAAATACTCGAACAGCTGATTCTTTCGAGTCGATTCTTAGTCGATGTAAATCAAAATCATTCAGAGCGACCGGGGAAGTTTAATTCCTGAATAACGTTAAATGACTCTTATGAATCGGTTATTTTTAGTGTAATAAAACGTGCAGATCGATGTAGTCAGATTACCGCGCGAATGACTCTTAATCAGTAGCTATATTAACATTTCTGTGTAAGCACAGTTTTTACATTTATATCACGTAACTTAACGTTACTGTTTTATCAGTTCTGATGAAATCTGAAATGACCTCGTCATTTGGCAACAGACTGACGAGGGCAGTTGATGCAATAACACAAGACCTGAATCATTTACCCAATATTTTTTCCACAAAAGTGCTGAAACAACCGTTAATGGAATCGTTATAAAACTGGAATCGCCACCACCCCTAATTAAAATCACATTTTAGGTGTAACGTTAGCCGATGGCGTGACAGAGACTGGTTTGGTTTGGTTTGCGTCGTAACAACAGAACACGCTGTGTTCCCTGTTAACGTTAAAGATGATACATTTACTCACCCGTCACTGAAACCTGTCCTGTCATAGATCCCAAAAGGGCTAGTAATAATGTCACGAAGAAAAGTCTCCAAACCATGGTGTCTAATTCTCAATACTCGTTCGGGCGTTCTGTTCGAGCTGTCTGCACAGTTTCTCTGAAGTGCGCCTGTGGATGTGGCTGCACTTCCTGCTTTCAAGATCACGTGACTGGATCTTTTCATCATTGGATGGGTATGGGTGGGAAATGCGACTTGAAAGCGTGTGGCCATCCACTTGTTTTCCTGGAGGGGGCGCATGGGGGCCCAAAAAGCTAAATTTTCATTGAGCTGCAAACAAATCTCAAGGACTTGTGTTTGATTGGCGCCATTTGAGTTTTAAAAAGTGTAATCGTTTACAGCTGTTAGTTACTAGAACTGGCACCTGATATTGAAATATAAACCTGCACTGACAGTCGCTATAAAATAAGTTTAATAATAGCAATCAATAAACAACCGTGATTGACTCATTCTAACAGGCGCTGAGAAAAGTGACATGTACCACGTGAGCTGCTTTAACCACAATTTAGACGATATTTACACAGTGTAAATTTAATTGAATTTGAATGGGAAAATAAGCAATGAAAATTAAAAATATGAAGAATATAATTTATATCTCATCATATTTAACGTTAGTGTTTGGGCCGCCAAGCCCCGGCCCGCCTGTTTCCGACTCGTTTCCTTATTCTGCGATTGCCACGTGTTCCCTCACACTTCTAACAAATGTTGCCATTGCCATGTAAATAAATAAATCTTAACTGGCGAAACCCTGCGTGCAATTAGTTTATTAATAATTCATAGAGCGAACGTTTTAACCACTACAAAATGATTTTACGCTATGAATCTTCTCCAGCCCTCCTAACAAAATGCCGGTGGTGAGTAGAACACGCCACCTAGAGCTGTCACTGATTTTTAAGACATGGGACAACAACTTTACATATAACTTCAGCTGTCTTTAGTTTTAAAAAAAGGCAGATTAATCAAAGAATGTACGATTAACCTTAAAGCCACATGTCCTCGTACCACCACTCAATAGCCTACTTTAAATAGGTTATGTGAATGCATTCATTTAGTTTCCGACCCAACTGTGTTAGGCAAGGAAAAGCAAATGTTGTGAGACAGAAGCAGGTGAACACAATGGATGTTAATCCAAAATAATACCATAAATTCTATTTTATCCTAATAGAAACCCAGTGCACTGAAGGTACTGTATTAAAATAATGTAAAATTTGTTAGAAAGAACACTTTACTATGCTTTGACATTCCGCCTACAGGCAACACTCGCTGAAATATCCCATTCAAGTAATGATTATTAGCATCGGTCTAAATTGCTATTGGTACTGAACAAACAAAACAGTAAATGATTAATTCTGCTTTAGGGTTATTACTGGGCAGATATTGGGCCATGAACTGTTGCTATGCTGCCACCCAGTGGACGAGTCCGTCTGTGAATTTACTGTTGATGTGAAACCATCCTTTTAACATTTAAAATATTTCCTGCAAGTGTTTAGAACACTTTTTATTTGTTTAAAAATGGCTAATAATTACACAACCTTTATATAACTTATAACATAACTTTTTATGCAATATTATTCACAAATGTAATTATCACCGAGAAAGTATGAGGATAAGATATAAATAAAAATATATAGATAATACATAGATAAGATAATAATATTTAATAATATTATTGTAATAATATTTAGATAATACATTCAACAAAACATTAAATTTAAATGTCTACCTTTGTTTCACTCAACCTAAATTATTGTATTGTAATATCAACCTTCCATCACCAGAGAGCAGCATTGTAATGAATTTTGATAAACTGCTCTCTGGTGGAATATCCCCCCTCAATATGCCTAGCATAGAGATCATCTATAGCACTATCCGATTTAGTTTCAATCGTGCCTTACCTACATTTACAATTTCTCAATTGCCTGGAAATTGTAGGTCAGAGAAATGCATTCAGTAGATGACGTTGGCAGTACGTAATTAATTAGACATTGTCAAGTCTAGAAACGAAGAGTCGTTCTATCAGCAGATGGCGCTGTATACTTTCACATGCTGTTCACCCTCATACTGCTATTAGTAGGCCTAGCCAAATCAATCTGAATAGAGAGCTGCTGCTAGTGGAGAGATTCGATAAATATCCAGACAATTATGCTATTTCACATGAGACTCATATCAGCTTATGCATTTCTAGTGTTTAATATGTTAAGCCTATCTAGTGTTAAATCATTCACCTTTATTTATATAGCCTAGCTAGCGCTTTATACTTTACAATACAGATTGTTTCAAATCATCTCTACGAGTTAAGTTCTAAAAAGCAAAGAGTGTCATGGTTCAGCAGAGGTCAATTCAATTTTGTGTAAAGTTCATCAACTATGAAATGAGTTCTCAGTTCTCATACAATTGTGACAGTCAAATCTATTGAATAGTATCTGTCCCCAACTAAGCAAGAGAGAGGTGTCAATCTTTTGTTAAATTGTGCCCTAAATCCCTTATGTATTTTTCATGTCTGTTACCATAAAGTATTTCCTGTTTTTCAAAAGAAGTTCATCCTTTGCTTCCTCCATTATGACGCATATGTCCGAGGACCATGCAAGCTTCATTCATTTTAATCTTAAATTGTGTTATATGTGCCCATAAAATAATAATATACCATGATATACAGATTTAGACCCAATTCAAGTGGTTTTCTTCCTCACTCCTACCTCTTTCCCCCCATTCCAAAACCATTTAGTCATTTTAAACTACCTAGCTAAAAACCTGTCTAAAATGGTCTGCTGGTTTAAACTGGTTTGAGATGGTCTCTCAGCCTGACCAAGCTGGTTTTACCTATTCGATCTTAATAGTATTCCTTAGAATTATGTCCATTAATATGTTTGTTTTTAAATGCAAGTTTTTCTATAAAAAAAAGTTAATTACAAATTAGTCCGAACTTTTAATTTCACATAGCGACCCCCTCGTGACAGAAATCGCGTCCGAACTTTCAATTTCACATAGCGACCCCCTCGTGAACAGAAATCGCGTTCGAAATGAGGACGTAACCATAGCAACAGTTAGACGTCCGCCGATTAGTATCCGGGTGTAGGCCAACATTGACAAATCATAATAACAGACATCCTTTATTACTTTATAAACTTATTATATATTTATAGATATGTATAAGTTTTTCAAAAACAAAAGTGTTTTGTTAAAAAAAAGTTTGGTTATAATTATTTAGGCTTTACTTTGGGTGTCAATCAATCCACACTGTACGTGCTATATGATATTTACATCACTAAGATGAGAGAGAGAGAGAGAGAGAGAGAGAGAGAGAGAGAGAGAGAGAGAGAGAGAGAGAGAGAGAGAGAGAGAGAGAGAGAGAGAGAGAGATCCACTGGCTGGGATGCAGACTGATAACTGAAGTATATCATCAGTGCAGCAGCTGTCTCAGAAGGAGGTGAGGCGATATCTCATTGACTCAGGTGCGTAGCGATCGAATTCCCGTGCAGATGTTTCCGTTGTTGTTTGTATTTCCTGGTAACTGCAGGTACGGACAGATGTGCGGCAATGTCACTAATGCGAGTACAGGAGGCATTGCATCGTAATTATATCTAGCTAATTTGTCATTGAGTGCAATCGATTAAGTCATTAATGCTTATACTTGCTGAATGGATAGAACAACGAATCTGATTGTGGGCTATGGCATACGACATCTATGTCTATCTGTGTGATATTGGCACAATAGTTGTTTTTAGGCGTCTGTTTGTTCTCTTTCTCTGGATTTCTACTCAAATGAAGATGTTGGTGAGATGGGGGCAATTAAATGAATATCGAAATAAGTTTGTCTTGTATATAGTCGCATTGAGATTTAAGGGGACCCAGGGTATCCGCGGTTTGTGTGCAAACACTAGCTGCTATCCAATAGTTGTGCTTTGACTAAAGGCGCGTCTTAGTTTCATTCATTTGTCATCGTTATACGGTTGTCTGCGCTGTCCGCGGTGCTGAAACCGCCCCAAACTTGCCCCTGCAAGGACGTGAAAAATGACGCGAAATTCCCTCGTTCTGCAGTTATATGTTTCTTTTTCTAAAATTTGACCGTGAATCTATCTCTCGTTCGCAGTTATTTTGCAAAGACTGGATAATGACGTAAGTTTGCCTTCATAGCAAAACTTCATTGGTATGGCTTCTAAAGCGACAGTCAACAGGGACCGGCACGTGTTGTAGCCAATATTATTCCTAAATTTGTCTTGACGCTTAACTAAGGAGTTTGTAAATCTACAGTGTATCCCTAAACTGTCTAAATTATTTTACAGTATGCCTGTTGTTGTTTCAGCCTACCCCACTAGGTAAGCTCTAACAACAACCGAAAACAATAGGCTATTTTAAATTGTGCACGTAGGCTATTTATTGTGGTGATCACATGTACATACAATTGTTATACCACCCTCATTTGAATTAAAATAGTTAATCTATAGGACATATTTCTGTTCAAAAGTGGACATAAAATTATATAAAAACAGATGCAAAAAACATTGGCTATAACTTTAAAAGCACGACAGAAACCGAACTTTACGAAAATCTGTCCCATTTTGTGCATCTTTTTTGCACCCAGAAATAGGTTGCAAAGTTTTACAACCCTTGGAAATGGTATTTCTAGTTTTAGACTTATGAAAAGCTTGTGTGGATGTTCTGTATCAGATTAAACAAGAGAACTGCTGATTCAGATGTTCTGTCATCAATATGATCACAAATTAAATTCAACTAGCCTATAGGCATGATCTTTTTCTCTTTAGCGCATTATGTTTGTCCTACAAATCGTTTTTATTTTATTTTGGGTTTTATAACTACGATCACACCGTTTAGGGAAGTGATTTGACCAATGTAACTAATTTTTAATTGGTTAAACTGTTACACACACACACACACACACACACCCTGATTCACAGCACTCCCTCAGTGTTAAATGATCACTCTCTTGCATTACCATGCATGCTTTAAAAAAAATAGATGCATAATACATTAATGGATTGTAATAGATGCACATGTTGTCCCTAACTAACTCTGCGTTGTGTTTTCTCAGCAGGTGTCAGGCCGCCTTAATGTTGTCTCACGTGCGCATCACGGTTGCTTAATTGAATCTGGGACTGCAGAGAAACGA